TTTATAAAGAAAAGAGATTTATTTGCCTCAAATTCTGCAGGCTATACAAGAAGCATGGTGCCAGCATCTGCTTCTGATTAGGGCTTTAGGAAGCTTCCAATCATGGTGGAAGGGGAAGTGGAGCTGGCATCATATGGCAAGAGAGGAAGCAAGTGAGAGAGGAGAGGGATGTCATGTTCTCTTAAACAACCAGCTCTTATATGAACTAACAAAGCTGAGAATCCACTTATTACTGCAGGAAGGCACCAAGACACTTATAAGTGATCTGCCTCCATGACCCAAATACCTCCCACCAGGCCCCACCTCCAACATTGGGAATCGAATTTCAACATGACATCTGGAGGGGATGAATATCCAAACTACATCATCACCCTTGTTCTTTGTTCCTATTTTTTGCCCTCCAAATTTTCTGCCCTTTAGGATTTTAACTGAGCATTTCATATGACTCTACCTTCTTTCTTTTCTTAGCATATTAGTTATGTTTATTTTTTTAAACTTTTTTTAGTGGGTGCCCTAGAGTGCGCAATATACATTTATAATAAATTCAAGTCATCTTTCAAATACACTATACCACTTCATGGGTAGTGTGAATACCTTATAATAACAAAATAATCATCATTTCTCCATCCCATCCTTGTATCATTGCTTCCATTCATTTCAGCTATATATAGCCATACACAAACATACATAATCAAATACATTATTACTATTTTGAACAAATTATTATCTGTCAGATCAATTAAGAATTTTTAAAAATATATATAATAGTTGGTTCTCATATTACCATAAAGAAATACCTGACACTGGGTAATATATAAAGCAAAGAGGTTTAATTGGCTCATGGTTCCACAGGCTGTACAGGAAGCATGGCGGCATCTGCTCAGTTTTTCGGGAAACCTCAAAAAAACTTACAATTACGGTGAAAGGGGAAGAGGAAGCTAACTCCTCACATGGCCAGAGCAAGAGGAAGTGTTGGCGGGTATGGGTGGGGAGTGAGGTGCCACACACTATTAACTGACCAGATTTCATGAGAACTCACTATTGCAATGACAGCACCAAGGGGGTGATGATGTTAAGCCACAAGAAACCACTCCCATGATCCAGTTGCCTCCCCACCAGGCCTCACTTCCAGCAGTGAGATTTGAGTGGGAACATGGATTCAAACCATGTCACAATGTTTTTAATCTTCATTTATTCCTTCTCCATTGCTATTCTTCTCTTTATATGGATCCAAATTTCTGGCCTATATTATTTTCCTTCTCTCTAAAGGATTTTTTTTTTTTTTTTTGACATTTCTTCCAAAGCAGTCTACTGAAAACAAATTCCCTCAATTACCATTATTTTTTTTTTAAGTTGGGCAATTCTCTTCTCTCAGGTCAGTTAGGCTCTGCTAAAACCCCAGCAGGCTAGATTCCACTTAGCTACTTTCTGCTGAGCACAGCTCTTGTTAAGAACAGAATGTTCTGGCACATTTCAAAATGGTTTCTTTTCCCCTCTCCCTGCTGGAAGCACTGGGGGATTTTTCTCTGATATTCACTGTGTGAACCTGGTAGAACTCCAGAAGTTAAATCACACAAAAAGTATAGGCTCCACCCATCATGACTGGGTCTCCCTGATGTTTTTAACTCTCAGACTTGCCCACACAGAACTTCTAGCAATTCACCACTTAACAGTTTAGGTTTTCTTATCCCAGCATTGGTTCTTGTAGTGGTTTCAGCTCATGGTTTTCTGCTCCAATAAGTTATAATTATCTGTGTTTTCTGCTTGTTTTGTTGTTTGTTTTTATTTGTCTAGTTCAAAATGTCATTTTTTTCCTTTTCGTTTTTAATTCTTTAATTCTCTGTATCTACTACCTCTCTGTCTCTTCAGTTTGGAAGATGCAGTTTGCCCCATGATTTCACTTTTCCAACAAATATATAAAGAATTAAGTATTTTTCAGTTTGCTTAGCTTTTTATTTGTTATTAGGATGGAGTGGTGACTTCTAAGGTCTTATATGCTGGACTGAAAACCAGAAGTCTGAATGAGTCTTGAAGGATGAAAAGGGATTCCTATATATCTGCATTATTCAACAAAGTGGCCACTTAGTCACATGTAGCTACTGAAATTTAAACTAAGTAAAATTTAAAATTAAGCTCCCAGTCTCATTAGGTAGATTTTGAGTATTCAACAGCTACATGTCATTAGTGTCTACAATATCAGAAAACACGTAAGAGCATTTTTATCATTGCAGAAAGTTCTATTGAACAGTGCAGCTCTAGACGACTGCTACTCCAATTGCAGTCCCTCAACCAGCAGTATCCTACCACCAATTGGTGAGTTATCTGTTTTTGTTTTTGTTTTGAGACAAGGTCTTGCTCTGTCACCCAGGCTGGAGTGCAGTGGTGCACCCACAGCTCACCGAAGCCTCGACCTCCCAGGCTCAAGCAATCCTCCCAGCTCAGCCTCCTGAGTAGCTGGGGCTACAGGTGCACATCACCATGCCAGGCTAATTTTTAGTAGAGACAGGATTTTGGCATGTTGCCCAGGCTGGTCTTGAACTCAGGAGTTCAAGCAATCTGCCCACCTCAGCCTCCCAAAGTGCTGAGATTACAGGCATGAGCCACCATGCCCTGCACAGTTGGTTTGTTAATAGGCAGAATCTCCAGCCCTATCCGGGACCTACTGATCAGAATCTGCTTTTAATAAGATTCGCCAGTGATTCCTCCACACATTTAGGTTTGAGAAGCATTGCTGTAGTGGTTGTGGGACTCGGATGAGTCAGATGGGTGTAGTTCTGGGATAGAGGAACTCAGAGAGTGAAACTGTACTCTGAGAGAACAGTGGGCACAACGGCAGTACATGAAAATACATGCATAGCAGGAGCTGGTAGCCTGACACAGATTACAAAGAGTTCTGTAGCCCTTTCCATTGTGCCCTGTGAGAAGTCACTGACCAATTTAATATAGGAATGCATGACAAGATCTGGGTTTGAGGAAGACAGCCTAGTGGTAATGTGAAGATCCTTATGGGCAACTTGGAAGTCAGGGGAGCCAACAGAAGGCTCTGATACAAACCTAGATAAAGAATGAGGCTTTCTTGGCTGCAGGTATCTCAGAGAGGAGAGGGCAGAGAGAGAGAGAGAGAATCCACAGGGACTTGGTAACTGGACATGTGGAATAGAGAGAAGGACGAAGTGAGAGTCGAACTTGGATGAGTGATACATGGGGTTGCTTTATCTAAATCAGGAATCAAGAGAATAAGCAGATTTTATGGGAAGGTGCTGAGGTTGGTCTAGACATGTTAAGTTTGAGGTATCTCTGAGACATTTGTTCACGTTTCTCTACTTGCCAAATGATGGTAATGACAGTGTCTACCTCCACAGTATTGGAGTATTAATAATCATACTGATATAGTGTATGTGAATATATTGTGTTAATGTTAGGGTGTCATATATGTGTTACTAGCATGACTCATATATATATTTGTAATCTGAAGGAGGGAGGCAGAAGAAAGGCTGAAGATACTCTCTGCATTTGCACAAAGGCAGTGTCATATATCAAATTCAGTAAGACAGGAAGTGCTGGAGGAAAATGCTGAAGAGAATGAAAGATGTAGATAGTCAAGTAAGAAATATAAGATAACAAATCATCAATTAGAAATATACCCCAGCTGCTTCTAAGCATAATAAATTGTCAAAGCTTTCCATCAAGTGGAAGAAGACAGTCACAGTGAGATTTTGGAGAAAACACATACTGAAAAATTCAGTAGCAGCATTTCCTGTAAATTAGAAATCTTGTCCAGAACCATTTCTTCCTTGAAACATATATATCACATATTACAAAAAACCGTTGTTACATTTTGATTTTCATCTGCAAACAAATTTAAGCTTAAAATGTAAGATATCCTTAAAGGTGACTGCTAGTTCAAACTTAACATTAGGCATATGGCTTCCTAACTTTTGATCATATGATTGAAAAATTGCTGGAAAGTTTTCCATGTGATTGATCAGACGGTAATTGAGTGTGAAATGTAATTCTTTGATGAATGCTTTTCTTCTGGAATTTGTAGATAGTGAAGGATTCTTAAATTGATTTTGCTTTTGTGAAGTAAGCAAATAACTTGACTTGAGACCTCAGTAAGGCTATCCAGCTAAATTCCTTATATATGTATTGAAGATATGTCACAGCAAGGCAGTGTGGTAGGTAGGGCCTGTCTCTTCCCTCAGGTTGCTGATAATCTCATGGCAGTTTACTTGTTTATACTTGTAAACAAGCCCTGAGCCAAGTTATAAGTGAGTGCTCACAGAATTATAAACAGGCTTGGGTAGTTTGGGGAGATAAGTAAGAACAATAGCCGCCAACAGACATCATAAATTCAAACTTCGATGACTTACTTTGAAATTATTTGAATAAGGTTCCTGCCACTTCATTCTGCTAGTTCTGGCCACATTATCTGCAGCTCCTCCTATCAAGAGGCAGAGTCCATTTGCCTGTCCCTTGGATTTGGAGAGGCCTCAGAATTTGCTTAGTTCTGCAGAATTTGGCCTATATTACCTTGTGTGACTCCCAAACCTAGGCCTTAAGAAGTTTTACAGCTTCTGCCTGCCCTCTTTTGGATGTTGCCCACAGATCAAAAACATAGCCTACTGCAAGATGAGAGACCACACGGAGCTGACAGCAGACACACGGGTTGAGGTCACCTTGGACTTCAGCTCAGCTGATTCTCCAGTTCAGGGATCAGCAAACAACCTGTAGGCCATAGCCTGCTTTCATATGGCCCTTGAGCTATGAATACCTTTGGGTTTTTAATAGTTTATAAAAAATAAATAAAAAAGAATATGTGACAGAGACAATGTCTAAAATATCTAATATATCTAAATATAGATATCTAAAATATCTAATCCTGTTTTACAGAAAATTTGGCCAACTCCTGCTACAGCTGAATGTATCCATATGAGTGAGCCCAGACAAAACCAGAGAGGAATTACACAACCAACCCTCAGAATTGTGAGAAATATTAAACTGACATTTTTGCAAGCAACTATATTTTGGGAGAGCTTATGCTGAAGCAATAGATAACTCAATCACAAGCTGATAAATGCTACACAAAGAAAAAGGAGACTGCTTCAAAGGAAATAACCTCTTAAAGGTTTTGGAGCTTTTCGTCTCACTTACTTCATTTAGAAGAATTTCTTATCCCCATCTGTTGTCCATGGCTCTGTTTTGCATTCCAGGGAGGTTTTGGCAGCTGTGAGCACATATACCTGCTGGTTACTCAAAGGACATTCAAAACATTTTAAAAATGAGCATTGAAATATACCTTTTCTAAAATTAAAAAAAAAGAATTTACAAAATATAATATTAATGTCCTAAAGCATTCCTCCAAATAAGAGGTAGATTTTTTCAGTATATGAATCTATTTGCAGTGAAACCTGCCTGGTTTTGTTATTAATGGACCACCTTGACTTAGTGAGGTGAACTGTCAGCTCAGGTGGGGTGAAGAATGGCTGTGATAAAGGTGTGCGGCAGGGCAGCAATCACTTAAAGGCACAGCTACCTGCCAGGGCTGGAACCAGGAAAATAATCTCAACCATAATTTAGATCTGATTACTTATGCAGTGCCAAGAAAGTCCCTGACTCACACTGCTACTATCTAAACTTACTTTTATTATATACCTATTTTGATACCTATATTTAGCCCTATTATTTTCAGAGAACCTTCAAACTATCATAAGTGATTTTGCAGAAAAAGGCTTTGATAAGGAAGAAGCAGTCAGGCCAAGGAGTTAGTAAACAAAAAGAAAGGGTGGGCCACATCTAGTCTTGATGCAAATGTGTGGGTTACAATAAGGGGTGGTGCTCATGGCTGGGCTTGGTAGTGGTTAAATACATGATTCAGACACACTTGATTTTGAGGAAAGAACCAGTACAATCAATACTGCACATCTTGGTAAAAAGGAGTTGGAGGAGATGGAGCTGAGAGTTTAGGTCTGGTATGCTCAGGTAAATATAGGGAACTCCTCCTGGATTTTGTTAAATCTTTTAAAAATATATATCACAAGGCCCTGTAGAAAGCATCACTACTTTTACCAGAATTATCACCAGGAACTCTAAAGTAGTCCACACACCACAGAGACCATAGCTTCACAGCTCTTTGAATGAAGCTGGTATTTAACTCAATTCATCACACATTATGATGCATCTACCACTAGGTAATCTGAAGCTGTAGGTGCCAGAATGATCCAAATTAGTATTAATCTGTCCACCTAGGTGAATGTATTTGTCTTTAAAGGATCACAACTGATGTTGAAATATGCTGCACTAAAAGCACACACCCACCCAGTGGAGTGGATGGGACAGAGCTGATTACTGTTGTGATATTTTTCTTACAATGTCAATGGTTCCTCAGAGATTTCAACCCTGTGATCTGCTTTTAAAGCATCACATTCTCCATCAGATTCCCCTTATCACCCTCACAGCATCTATGACCCCTCAGAAATGATCTTGCCTACTTGTCTTCATCTAAGAGTCTGAATCTTATAGGGTCCTTGTCAATCTTGTTCACTCATCTGTTCCTGGTGCCTCTAACAATGTCTTGCATAGTTGAATGAGTCACAGATATGGTCTGACAGACTGGTTTTCAGACCCACGGCTGGTCATGTTAGTCCATCTCTTACCCCTTAGGGACACTACCATGAGTAACATCTTATGAGAATATCGTTTATCTTCTTTGTACATTAGTCTTGTGTAACCTCTGTCTCTTTTGTAGAGATCTAAGACTTTCTCCTCCAAAGAGTTCCAAAGTCTTTAATCTGATAGATTACCTATCAACCACAGAAGGAAAAATAATTTTCCTAATTCTTTATAATAGAGAGATTTAGAGGTTACCTCTTTACCCTAGTGACCATAAATATTTGGACAATTGATTTTATGTGTTTACTATTTAATACTATGTTTTACCTAGTGGGAAACAACATGAAGAGTACCATGTAACCGATGCAGGATTCTAGACATTGAATCAAGTCTCTAAACCTTCCTTCCAGCTTACAGGAAGTTCAGGAGCTAAAAGAAAAGTTAAACAACACCAGGGGGAGGAAAAAATAGTGAAACCAAAAAGTTAATGCCATGAAAACAAACGAGGTGGAGGACTGTTGTACATTAAAAGAGACAAACACAACAAATGACTTTTCCTACCAAACCAATATATAAGACTTGTTTCTGGCAAGTGGGGAGATTTGAATGTGGAATGGATATTAAGTAATAATAGATTACTAAGTTTCTTCAGTGTGATAATGGTATTGTGATATGTAGAAGAATGTCCTTAGTCTTAGGAAATGCAGGCTGAAGTAAAACTGAGAGCAATTATGGTAAACGGTTAACAGTTATTTAATCTTAGAGACATGTACAGTATGTGGGTGTGAACTGAACTCTGCTTCAACTTTTCATGCAGGGATGTCAGGGCCAAGCTGTTCACAGTCTCCCAGCCAAGTGACCAGAATGGAGAACTGCTTTCAGATGGCCCTATTCCAAGGGCACCTAGAGAGGAGTGGAAGTATTGTTTCCGATTAATTTAATCACCTCCATCCACCCAAAGGCTAGTAGGACTAGAAGCCATATGGAACACCAGCTCCCGGGCCTAAAAGGCACTTCACTTCTCACAGTCAGCCCTGGATGGTGAGGACTCAGAGTGGGGCAGACCATCCTTAAACTGCCTAGAACAGTGGACAGTTTGGGGAGGTGCTTCCCAAGAGCACGGGACTCCCTGGGATTCCCATCCATACACAGGCCAGTGAAACCCCACGTGTCTCTCTTACTCCCACTTCATTCCCCATCGATTCTAGAAAAACGGGCATTTCTTCTGAGACAGCAAACAGCTCCTCTTAAGGTTTCTTCTTTCCTAATTAGTTCTGTATGGAGTTTAACAAGAAAATCCATCCAGGGCCGCCTTGAGGCCATGCACCCAGGAGCTTGGAAAGACGACCAGGGAAAAAGAAAGGGTCTTAGATAGCCTAGCCCGATGTCTGCCACAAAGTTGTCTAATCTTGGCAAGCATCAATTAAAGGCACACCTAACACGGCCGTACTCGGAATGCAAGGTGACCGCGACGACCCCGAGAGCGCGCCAAGCGAGCGTGCAGGGCTGGGGGCCCAGGACTCCCGGCCGCGGCCCCGGCGCGTGGTCTGCGCGCGCTCGGCAGCGCGTGCGCCTGCGGGGAGGCTGCGTGTGTGCGCCGAGCGGGAGCGCCGGCCGCCTTCCCGCTTCCGAGCTGGGTGCGCGCTGTGCGCAGGAGGTGAGTGAGAAGGGCGGCCCTCCAGGAGCTCTGAGGTGGCTGAGTCCAGCGGCTGGGTGGCGGGCGTGGCCAACGGGCCCGCTTTTCTCGAAACGCGCCATCCTCGGGAACGCCGAGACCCGGACGGCGAGGCCGGGAGGCACCGCCCACTCCTCCGGTCCTCTCCTGAGCGCGGCCCACGTTGAGCCGCCGCGCCCTCGGGCGCGGGCCTGGGTGACGAGCAGCTCCCCGGCTCCGGTGAGCGCGGGAGAAGGGGCCCAGCGGGGCAGTGGGCGACGCGGAGGGCCCAGGCCTCGGCTGAGGCCGCACATTGTCCACCTTGCCTTGCCCCAGGGCGCAATCCCTGCCTTGGGTTGCCCGCGCCCGTCCAGCCACGGTCAAATCCGGTAACGACCCGGGGCGTTTGCAGCGGTGCCGAGGAAGAGGACGGGAACGGTGTTACGGTATTGGTGGATTCCTAACAGGCCTGCGGCGAACGCTTTCCCGGAACCCTGGGGAAGGGCCCCGGCGCAGGGCTGTGAGAGGGATTGGGAAGGAATGTGAAACTAGGGGGAAATGAAGAGAATGGGCGTGGGCGGAGAGAGAAGGAAACCCCACGGGGCTAGGGCTACAGGATTCCCACCTGGAGGTTAACGAGCCTTCAAGGCGTTTTAAAAGGAATCTTAAAGATGCAGCGGAGTCTCACTTTTCCCAGCAGGAAGGAATGACACGGGTAGTCGCTGAATTCAGTATTCGTTCACCTTCTTACTGTTGGATTTAGGAGGGAGATTTGCAGGGCTGTCATGATTTTGTGTCCTTTGCATTTTGCACAGAGTGCCTGCGTTTGGGAGGTGGCTGCTTTGTCGGAAAAGCTACCATCAAGGAAGGAATTGACAAATCATGTGTTTTTTTCTCTTTTCATAGGTGAGGAAAATTTGGGTTTACAAGTTTCAACTGGGAACTAGTTTTTTTAACCTTCCCCCAAGAGGCTTAACCGAAAAAAGGGCGCTGAATTTGTGCTCTCAGCATGTGTCGATGCCTGATAAAGCATAAATTACCGACCGTGTGGCAGTCTGGAGAAGAGAATTGTGTATTACTAAGAGACAAGCGTCTATGACATATTTTTCCCCTCATAAACTAACATATTCATTCAAATCAATGGCCATTGGATAACTCCAGACCTGAAAATAAACTCTGTTGGCAGCGGCTCACGCCTGTAATCCCTGCACTTTGGGAGGCCGAGGTGGATGGATCACCTGAGATCCGGAGTTTGAGATCAGCCTGGCTAACATGGTGAAACCCCGTCTCTACTAAATATACAAAATTAGCTGAGCGTGGTGGTGCGCACCTGTAATCCCAACTACTCTGGAGGCTGAGGCAGCCTGAGTGAGACTAGAGTGAGACTCGGTTGCAAAAAAAAGATGTCCGTATATAATTTCAGATTAGAGCATGAGGTGATAGGAAAGTGAAAAAAGAGAATCAAGCCTTTTCCAAAAATGAAAAAGGTGTTGATACATAATAAATTGCTCCAAAACAAACTTGCTATGTATAGAACACTGATTTTAGATGTCATAGTTCCCAATATTAAGTTATGACTCATATATATATATGTATATATTCTTTTTCTGTTTTGTTCAGTAGTTCACAGCAGATCTGAGTGTTTTAATTAAAGCATGGAATACGGAAAACAACAGAAAACTTAAAGCTTTAATTTCATCTGGAATTCCACAGGTAAGCTCATCATACTTTTAACTTATAAATTATACGAATTGATTAAATTGCCCATAATAGTGCCCTTTACAAGGTTTTAAGTATCGTTAACTCAGCCACGAAGTTTGTTGTATATTCTAGTATGATTCTTTCATCAGAGGATTTGAAGAAGTTCAAGAGTGAAGCTCTGCTAAGGCATTTGAGATGATATATGTTTTCTGTCTTTTTTCTTGTTTAAAAAGTAAAGACAAGGTCTGTTTATGTTGCCCAGGTTGGACTGGAACCCCTGGGCTCAAGTGATCCTCCTACCTCAGCCTGCAGAGTAGTCAGGACTTCAGGTGTGTGCCACCTCACCTGGCTCTGATTATATATAGTTTCTAAAAAATTGAATTATTAAAATATCATGGTTCTTAGGAAAACCCAATAACTGCAAAAACTTAATTTGGTGGGTCATATTCAAGTTCTGACTCAACTCCCTTTATCCCTAAGAAAATGCTCCATTGAATACTTTCCTCTTTCCCCTTTGGATGAATGATTTATCATCTTCTTGGGCCCAGATTCCAGCTTTGTTCCGTCCACCATTGGATGATGCAGGTAGAACTCTGTTTTAGGAAATGCTTTGTCCCTTTCACAACTGTATCATGTCCAGACCAAATAAGCTTTTATAGGGATGGATCATTGTTGGCCACTGTGTGGCTAGCCACATGGATAGGGTCAAGCATATGGGGTCGCACAGGATACTTTTACTGCCCTTGCACAGCAGATGCACTTAAAACTTACAGTTCATTTTACAGCAGGCTCTTTGGCAAACATCTCTCTTGGGACTACGAACTATGGTTTTATATGAATAAAAAATTGCATATTATAAATATTGATTGGATTTTGTTCCTAGGTCTTTTGGCATATCATGAATTAGAGGCTAGGGGAAGATGAGAAGATGAGCTAGAAATACGGCAATTCGTAGGGGGCACATCAGCATGGGGAAGGAAGATAAAGCCACAGAACATCCCTGGGGTGGGGCCCCACGTGGCTGAAGGTTGGAAGATTTGGCTGGAGTGATAACCTGTGCTCCTTGAGGCTCTGAGACATTAAGGAACTAAAAGAAAGCTAGAGTAGATGGGCTTCTAGTTCTCTGTCTCCTATCTGGAACTATATTTAGCTATTATTTTGTTTCCAGACTTTGTTTTCAAGAATGGAGTTAGCACTTTATGCAAAAGCAGAATGGAGTAGCTGAAACAGAGACCCCAGGGCCCACAAATAAAATATTTGCTATCTGCCTTTTATGGGGGAAAAAAAGTTTACCCACTTCTGGGATAGAACATGGATTTCTGCTAAACTCTCAAGCTGTGCATTTTGAACAGGCTCATAAAAGTTAGAATAAAGAAGTCCTGCTCCTGTTAAAACATGTCAAGAGCCTATAGCCACCATTCCTGCAGGACGACAGTGAGGGCTCAAACCATGTCTCATATCGAACTACATTTGGCTGTTTTGATTACAGACTGTATTGAGAATGTAGTTACCCACTTTCTAAGATAAAACTTACAATCAACTTTCATCTCTAAGTATGAAATAATTTCTTTATACCGATACAGGTTCTATAATTTATGCCTTTATTGGGTGCTAACATTCTGAGAGTGCAAACTCATCTCCCTGCCGTGGACTTTGGTCACTAATTTAGAAAGATTTGAGCTGGGAAGCCTCCCCCATGTTCTCCAGGTGGACCTCACTCAAGAGGTTTAGTCTGAAATGTGTAATTGTGAGCCTTCTGCCATGCTCTGCATGGAGTGTCAGCAACTTGAGGACAGGGCTTGTCTGTCTGCTTCCCCACTGCTGCTCCAACCTCTAACACGGGTCCAAAACATCAAATGAATGAATGAAATACCCTCAGAGGACAAAGGTAATGGCAACTGATGGATTGTTGTAACTAACAGGAATGGTAAAGATTTGTAATATTCCCAATTTAGGGTAGTATTAGGAAGAAATGTTAACTAGAGCAGCTCCCCGATGCCCTTCCTACAGTGGATAAAGCAGTTTGTAACAAAACAGACACGGAAAGCCCAGCTTTCAGGGCAGTCTTGCTGCTGTTCTGTCTGACTTGTGTGATCTTTGCTCTGCTCCAGTTTTCCTAACTCCCTGGACCTAGTCGACCTGTTGACTCTTGCCACTGGCTGCTCTGTCCCGTGGTGCTCTCCGACTACCCACCCTGAGTGTAGAGGTGCGTCTGCTTCTGCTGCATGCTTTGCTCCCTGCCCAAGAATCTCAGGAGGCTGTGGGATTAGGTGTGAGGTTGGTCTCTTGGGGCACTGTGCCCTGGCAGGAGCTTGGCATTTGGAGTTGAAGGGCTCGAGTTTGAGTTCCAAGTCTTCCTCTACCTGGGCTGCACTGTTCCTGGAAAATGGGATTGATGTTAACACACATTTTACGATGTCATGAAATGTGTTTTGTAAATTGTAGTTAGAAGCACTATAAACTTGTATAATCCCAGAAGTCCACTTCAGGCATCTTTAAAAAGAAAAAAAAAAGCCCTGCTAAAAATCCCAACATTTATTGCAAATTATTAAGATGGATTTTGTATGTTCTTATTGGAGTGTGCAGATAGGGCAGAAGCAAAAAGAAGATTGCATCTAAGTTTTCCTTCTCAAGTCCTGCTGCTTTTGTTTGCGCCTCATTTTTCTCATACCAAACCCAGAAATCCATAAAAGATTCTGCGTGCTGCAACCCAGAAATCTGAGATTCCCGTATACAGGGATTGTTTTACCTACAAGAAAGTCGTTTGTTTGCAAATGTTATATATAATACGTCTTAATTACCTGTATCTTTAAAACTCAGGTGTCTTCTACGTCAGCACACTGAAACAGCAGGCTTCCATTTTAATGAAGCTTTAATGAAAGATATTTTCGCATACATCTTAGAAGGTACCTGAGGGTGGTGGTGGGTTTCAAAGGAAGGATTGGGAGATGGTAATGGAGTATAGGTATTCATACTCACTGTCTACACTGTCTACCTAAAACTGTGTGACAGCCACAGAGAATACTCAGTAAATACTTCAAATTTGTTCTAGAAATTGAACAATTTAAAATATTTATGCCAAACTGAAACCTTTTCTATGAACTATATTTTAAACATCGATAGCAAAGTTGTGGAACCTTGTCATTAAAAGGGACCTTTGAAGTTTCTTAGAATAACTTAAAATGCAGTGACAAATCAACCTTTATAACATACCTGATAGCCACTGAAGATTTTCTCTGGTGAGGAGCAGCCCATTCTAGTAATCTGTATTGAACCCTCCCACTAACTTTTTTAAATCTTTGGGTCATTTGCCTTCTGGAGTGATACATATTGTTCAAAATAATTTGAAAGTATCTACCAGGGTCCCTCTGAGCTTTTATTGTCTCCAGAACAGAGCATCCCCAGTTCCTTCAGCCACATGTCACACACTCCTCATGGGAGATGATAAACCCTTCACCAAATGAGGGTCCCGCTTCTGACTTTAACGTGTTAATGACCCTTTGATCCTTTTGAAATGGAACGCATATATGGCTGTGGAATTATGACCCCTTTTGCCCAGACGCTTTTTCTGTTTCTTGAACTTAGGAGTGTATTAGGGTGTGCGTGTGTGAGAGAGAAGGACACAATCTAGTATTAACTTGTAGAGTTTCTGTTAGCACTGCCATTCATTCACAAGTACTTGGGAGTGCTTCCTATGTGGCAGGCACTATGCTAGGTGCTGGGGACAGAGTGGTGTGCAAGAATGAATATCATCTCTATGCTGGTAGAGCTGCATGGAGCTTGAGAGGTATCCTAGCCCAGTACCTTAAAGTTCTGTTGAGAAATAACTTCTGAAATTCAATGACTTGCCTCCCTGCCAGAACTAGAATCCTTTGTTCCCTGACTACCCAGTTATTCCATTACATCTGTTGTATCGGACCGAGCACAGGAAGTCAACACCAAGACAAAAGTATGCCAAATTGCAGGGTTTATTGCCGGTGACCACGGAGGACTCATGTCTCCAACCCGTGGGCCCATAAAAGAGGGTGACAAGACCTTTTATACCCGTAAAATCACCTTGGGGGTGAGGGGAGAGGATGGGGTGAGGGGCTTCAGACATTCTGAGGGCCAGTGGATTCAAATCATCTTCTGGGCGGAGATGAGGGTGAGGGGGTTCTGGACATTTCGAGGGCCATGGGACTATTTGACATTCTGATTGTCATTTAAGGGGTTCACAGATGCTAAGATTAGCATTCGTTTACACATCATCTGGGTAGGGGTGGGATCCATAGATTTTTATTGACTTGGCACCAAGATAGAATTATCTGGGGGTGCTTACTCTGGTAAACAAAGGCCAGCTCTTCTGGCAGTTACAGATAAGAGAAAGTATGCAGCTTTACCTCAATTTGCATTTTGCAAAGTAAACTTAGCAGTTTTACAGAGGCCGAGGTTAGCAGTCATTGTGAGGAGAATGGAAACAGTTTTGTCTCTTTATAAAATGGCATTGTACAGGTTCTAACTCTAGGCTAGCTATACCACACATCACCACCTTTTATCATATTGGACTCATACTTAGCTAAACCATTAAGTCTGTTTAGGCTGCTGTTAAAATGGCCCCCCATCCTGCTCTTGTGCAGTTGGTTTTTTGAGCTCTGACATGGGACAATATATGTGTTCCTATTAAATTTCATCTTGCTATCTTTGGCCTTTTCTCACCTGTTAAAAGCTTTTGGTTTATAATTGCATCTTTTAATGAATTTGTCATTTTTTTTTCTGTTTTTTTTTTTCTTGCCTACAAAATTGAGTAAGCCTATATTCCTTTGTCTTTAATTAGAAATATTAAATGAGAAAAGGCTAGGCCTGTGATTTCTTTTTTTCCCAGTTTGACAAAGATGTTCTGGTCAACCTTAGAACATCAGCAGAAGGGCAGGTCTCTGGCACTTTTGGTAACACTATTCTCAGAGTCCAGCAGAAGCCCAAGAAATGTGTCTTGAACAAGATACTGTATGAAAAATACACTGGCTATGAAGGATCAGCCAATTTTGAAGCCATCTAGCCACTATCATTACTCACATTTTCCCATTTTGTTCAGAAGGACTATAAGTGCCCAGCTCTCTTTACAGAGAAGCCTGATTCTTAGGTGTTATCTAGGAGTTACCTTGATCTTCTGTTGAAGAACCTTATTGAAAATGGGGCTTGGCGGCCGGGTGCGGTGGCTCAAGCCTGTACTCCCAGCACTTTGGGAGGCCGAGGTGGGTGGATCACGAGGGCAAGAGATTAAGACCATCCTGGTCAACATGGTGAAACCCCATCTCTACTAAAAATACAGAAAATCAGCTGGGCATGGTGGCGTGTGCCTGTAATCCCAGCTACTCAGGAGGCTGAGGCAGGAGAATTGCCTGAACCCAGGAGGCGGAGGTTGTGGTGAGCTGAGATCGCGCCATTGCACTCCAGCCTTGGTAACTCCGTCTCAAAAAAAAAAAAAGAAGAAAATGGGGCTTGGCTTAGTCAAACACAGCATTCTGTGAATCTTCTAGCTCCTGACAGTTGTTGCATTTGTGTCTTAAGTATTCACTAATGTTTACAGAGTCTCAGCAACTTCTTCAGAGTTATTTGGAATGCAGATTCATTAACACCAGACTCTTCAGGAATTTCTCCATTACCAAAAAGTGAACTTGTTGGGGAAGACTTTTTGAAAACTGGGTGAGGATTTAGAAGAGCTGAGCATGATTTGCGTGGAGATTGAACTAGACTTCTCTTTTTTTAAAGTTTCTGGTTTAGCCACCTGAGTAGCTGGGATTGCAGGCATGCACTAGTACTCGGGGCTAATTTTTGTATTTTTAGTAGAGACGGGGTTTCACGATATTGGCCAGGTTGGTCTTGAACTCCTGGTCTCAAGCGGTCTGCCTGCCTTGGCCTCCCAAAGTTCTGGGATTACAGGCCTGAGCCCCGTGCCCGGTCAAAAGTTTCTGGTTTAGCATTGACAACTCTTCACCTCTGAGGAAGAACAGAGGTGCTGCACTATGAAAGTATGCAGACACCAGGCCAATAGGATTAAACAGGGTAGGAGGGAAGCTTTGTAGTGCAGAGGCTACAGACTCCACTTGGCGTGGTGAAGATACCTGACTTTACAGTGCAGCTCTGCAGGCTCGGACACGCTGACTAATGAGCACGTGTCCAAATCTCAGGCTGGTTAGCTGAAAGATACATGTTATAATAATGGTTCCTACTTCCTAAGATTGTTGTAATTAAACAAGTGGAAGTATAAAACATGCTTACTACAGTGCCAGGATCAAGCAAGGACTGTTGCTAAAATTTTGGAGAGAGGGGGGTATGTAGAAGTTGGATAGAGTAAAAAGCAGGTTCTTTTCAATGTAAGCCTTTCTTTCTCCTGACAGAGTAAAGCATATTTCATTTTTAAGTATTGTCAAATTAGGCAAATATGCCAATTGCTATTCATTCATTCAGTAAATAAAATTTCACTTCCTATTATAAGTCCAGCTGTGTGTTCCCAAGTAAGGAGAAAAATGTAAACCATATCAAATATGCACAATCCTCAAATAAAGGAGCCTGACGCCACTTGAATATCACACGCGCTACAGTTGGAAAAGGCCCTTGTATTTTGCAGCTCTCCTCTAGTTGCTAGAAGTGCTTATGGTGAGACTTTTGACAGTGTGAGTAGTGCCCGGAAAAGATGATGTTCAGTTGTAGGAAGACTGGGGCAGAAAGAAGGATCCAGGGAGAGGGGAGCCTATGTGCAGAGAAGGAACCATGAAGTGTGCATTTCGCCTTGCAGACCTCTACCAGGAGTTCCTGGAGGCTCGTATTTGCAGGATAGCAGAACATCAGACACTGCGAGAGTCTAGGGAAGAAGACTTGGACTCTAGAAGACTTACTAATTTGAAAGGAAAAGGTGGACCTACTAAGATTTATTTGCATGCTTTATTGCATTTTAGATGACATCATGCCATGTAAGACACATTTGGGAGTTAAGAGCAAGATTTATAAAGGAAATGTAGACAATGTATGTAGAGGAAGCATATAGTGTGGACTCTAACAATAACAGCAATACCATCTACTTAGCCCTTACTGTGTACCAGCCCTATCCTAGGTGTTTAACACATATTTCATGTTGCTGTCCAGATAAACCCACGAGGAAGGTATTGCTCCCATTTTACAGATAAGGTAACTAAAGCTTAAAAAGGTTAAGTAATTTGCTCAAGTGTATTTCATTGCTTCTCAAACTTTAGTATGTCCACAAGCCACCTGTTAACAATGTTTCTGATTCACTAGGTCTGGGGTGGGGCCTGGGGCTTTGCATTCCTAACACACTGCACTTTGAGTAGTGAGGGTCTGGGCATCACATTCGAGTCACCTGGGAGCTTTAAAAATACAGCCACCTGGTGCTTGCTTCAGCAGCACATGTACTAAAAATATGGTGGCCACCTGAGCCCTGCCACCCTCTGAAACTCTGATTTAGTTGGTCTGGGATCCAGTTTGGCTTCCTGTGTTATTCAAGTTCTCCAGGAGATTATAATGTGTAGCAAAGCGAGAACCACTGGGTTAAAGAAGAGAAAAAAAGGTATTGGTCAGACAGCACTGATTGTGTTTATTTCTAATATAATCTGCGGAGGTCCTCGAACTCAAAGCAGCTGCAAGTTGTGAAAATAATTAAGTGTTTAATTGATGAGTCTAATTGAATGGTAGAGTTTTCTATTGCTTTGTTTATAAGTTAATGTGTTTAGTTTGAATGGGTACTGGGGACATTTCCCTCAAGGGTATGAATTGATATGTGAGCTAGTTTCCCTTTATAAGGAATATATATGATAGATGTGTGTAATGATGATTTGAATTAAACTGAATAGGCACAGGACCTTTTTTTAGGCAATTAAGATTTCCACTGCCTTTGCAGTATTATTTCTTTTGTGTAGAAGAAAAGTTAGAATGTTGTAAAACTTACTGTAGTTTGTAATTGTCTGTAATAGTCCATGGATGATGCTGAATATAGCATGCTTGGACCTAAAGTTCAGCCAACATTTATTTTTTCTTTTTCTGGAACTTTTAAAATGCACATGATCAGAATCAGCATAGCCTATTACAGCAAGATTTTGTTTTTGGAAGAGAGCTGAAGAAAAGCATAATCCAGCAAATTCAGTTGACTTTTGGATTAAGTGTATTCTTGAAAATATTTACTAAGTGGATAAAAGTATGTTACCAAACCATTTGCAAAGCATGCATATATTCTCACAGAGAGCCTACTATGTGTTAGACCCTGGGGCTATATGGCAGTGAATAAGGTGGGTCAGGTTTTCCCCTTCTCCAATCTTACATTCCTTTAAAGGGAACAGGCAATCAACAAATATAAACAGATTTTTAAAAGTCTAGATGGGGTTAAATGCTGAGAAGGTGTTAGGTTTGAGTCCCAGCTAAGATCCGAGGGGAGTGGGTGGATGGGTAAATAGCTGAAAGAACACTCACGGGCAGTAGGCAGGTTAATTGTAGTTTTATTCAGCAGCTATTGAATCAGCTTGCTTACACACTTTCACATGGTTTACCTTCATCTTGTCTGTTTGCTTCAGCTTTGTGGCTCCTCTTATCAGCCTGTTGTGTGGCTCCTGCCACCCCCAATCCTTGCCTCTGTATCCCTGACCTACAACACCAGATTGGGGGTTAGCAGCTTCACTTTTTCCCTTTGGGCACAAGCCAGTTCCTTCAAGGCAACCCGCTCTCCCTTACAGGGATCAGTAGCATTACTCTCTCTCTGGGCACTAGTGCACCCCCAAGCCATGTCAAGCCAACCCAAGCCCCTTGCACAACGTCAGCAGGGCAGTTATACCTTTTACAAGCAATAGTGACTCTAAGCCAAGTGTAAACTTAGGTTATCTAATAAGTAAAGTATGCACCTGTGCCCTAAACTTGCTAAGTCACTTTGGCACAAATGTTGGCTTTGGCTTCCTTAACCAAAGCACATTCATGTACCTTACAGAAGGGAATAATGAGGGATGAGTGCTGGGGGAACTACGTGAGATTAGGGGTCATGGAAGGACTCTCGTAAGTGACACTGCACTGAGATCTGAGGCATAAGAGGGAGCCAGACTTTCCAAGAACCAACTTTTTAGGTGGAGTGGGGAGAGTAAGTGCAGGCTCCTCAAGGGAGGAAAATAGTTGACATATTCAGGGATAAGAATGGGAGCTAGGCCGAGTTTGGTGGCCCCCACCTATAATCCTCACACTTTGGGAGGCTGTGGTGGGAGGATTGCTTGAGTCCAGGCATTCAAGACCAGCTTGGGTAACATAGCAAGACCCCCATCTCTACATATCTACATATTTTTTAATTAAGAAAAGAGAAAATAATAGAATGGAAGCCATTGTGGTTGAAATAGGATTAGGAGGGAGTAGCAGTAGCAGATGAAAGAAGGGCTTATATAAACCCATGGAACCAGAGACTTGACAGATGTTCATAAAAAATGTGAACATTGTGGCTAGGCATTGTGACACATACCTGTGGTCCCAGCTCCTAGGGTGGATCACTTGGGGCCAGGAGTTTGAGGCTGCAGGGCAAAATGATTGTGCCTGTGAATAGCCACTGCTTTCCAGCCTGGGAAACAGCAAGACACATCTCTAAATTTTTTTTTAATGTTAGTATTGTTATTTTTAAGCTTTTATTGTCTCTGTGCTTTTTTGGCATTCTGTAACTCTAATGAACATATATTACATTTGCAATAAGAAGAATTACATTTTTTAATAGTTAAATTTGATTTCTTTTTGCAGGAAATAGCCAACATTTTTGTACCCCAGGAAAGAGTTTCGGGTTATTTTGGCTTGAATAATTGTGCCAGTGTAGCATCTCTGTTTGTCTGTTTTCTTGTAGTCTCTGCATTTGAACATTGATAGACCCATTTATTTTGTAGTGTCCAGTATTTTTTGGTGCAAAATAAAAAGATGTATATCTGTATGAGCAATTAGTTACAATTTTTTTTTTAAAAATTGTATTTCAAGTTTTAAGGGTAGAATTTTGAGTTGTTCTGTGTGAAAATAGTAAAGCTGAGATGCTGCTATACTGTTTGAATCAAGGTTCAGTGTTTGCCAGAAATTAAAACTCACTCAAAACAGCTCTGTTCAGAAGAGCTCCTTAGCATAGGAAGCATAGTGAGCAGGCAGCATACTCCCTGGGATCTAGCAGTCAAGAATGTGGGATCTGGAGTCTTGTTTGAGTTTGTGTCTACCACTTACTAGCCTGTGATTTTGAGCATATTGACTGTACCTAAGTCTTAGTTTTCTCACCTATTAAAAGGGGATAGAAAGGGTTTTCAAAGCACCTTAATTCATGGGGCTCCCATGAAGATTATAGGAGCTGGTGCCTGGATGCAGTTACTGTTGCTTCTTCCTGGTATCAGTGTTAATTCCCGTTAACACTGAGTACACACAATGATACACAGAATGACCTTCTGAACTGCTGAGCTTTTTTTTTTTTGAGATAGAGTTTTGCTCTTCTTACCCAGAGGCTGGAGTGCAATGGCACAATCTTGGCTTACCACAACCTCTGCCTCCCAGGTTCAAGTGATTCTCCTGCTTCAGCCTCCTGAATAGCTGGGATTACAGGTGTACGCTACCACGCCCCTGACAGCTTTTAAAAAATGTTTGTAATGAAGTATGACGTACAAAAAGGAAAGTGCATAAGTATAAGGTGAATTGTCAGAGTGAACACATCTGTAGCCAACCATCTAGATCAAGAAACAGAACATGGCTGCCACCTAGAAAGTCCCCTCGTTCTCCCCCAATTATATTTCCTCCCTTTCCCCAGAGGTTACAGTGTCCTGAATTCTAAAATTCAGGACACTGTAACCTCTGCTTGGTTTGCCTACTTTTCAACTTTGTGTAAATGGAATCATAGTGTCTGTTCTTTCTGTGCTTGTTTTTTTTCACTCAACATTATGGTTGGCAGATTGTCCATGATGTCATGTGACATGGTAATTTGTCCATTTTAGATAATGTGCGATTGTCCATGATGTCATATGACATGGTAATTTGTCCATTTTAGATAATGTGCTGTTATATGGATTTCTCTTTGCTATTATGGGTGGATATTTGGATTGATTCCATGTTGGGGCTATCATGACTAGTGTGCTCTAGTTACCTTTCTTGTACATTTGTTGAGGGGGGCACCATCAGAAGGACTTGAGCCCCTGCTTGTATATTTCTTGATGTCCTTAACAATACATACATTTTAATGGTGAGTGTTCTGCCTAGAGTGGGATTGCTGTATTGTGGGGTACATATATGTTCAGCTTTAGTAATGCTAAAAAGTGTTCTGAAGTAATTGAACCAATTTGTATTTACTCCAGACTATTACTACTACAATTGGTATGGATTTAATAATTCACAGAAACTGGTCTCTTAATTCAATAAATACAAAGATCTCCTAGGATGGAATTTTCAAAAGTGTAGGATACTAGTCCTGGCAGAGGCTCTGAAAATTAATCCTATTAAAATAGGTTCTTTGTTCAGAGAAATTTGAGAAACATTGCACGGTGTATCCTCTTCCCAGAGAATATACTTTAACATATTAAAAACTCTGAGAAGTCCTCCACCAAAAAAATAATAGTTTAAGTTTGTTTGAATGATTTCCGATTTTGGCCCACAGAGCCGTTTTGCAGCTGTAATAGCTGTAGATAAGACAGAGATGCAGCCTGTGAGTAATGGGGCATTGGGAAGGAGGCAGCCATCTTTGGCTGCTGTAAAGCGACAGCATTTAATAATGGCGTTCCTGATTCCTCGCTCTCTGAGGATGGTACTTTTGTTGATGGTTGACGCATTTGTACACTTAATACTCTGGAAGCTGATAACCTTTTTTATCTTTGGAGGTTTTCTGAGCTTTTCTAGTATTTGAGTTGTTTTTTCAGCTACTACAGATCAACCCCTAAATCAACAAGTAATTACTGGTGGCCTGCTGTTCACCCAGCATTGCACTAGGTTGGTGGAATAGATAAGATACTATTTTCTTAATAGAAATTACTTATAGTCTAGTTGGTGAATTCCTGTGTAGTTAATATAAGCACAGATTTATCTTAAAAAAATTCTTTTTGTAGGTACGGGTCTCACTATGTTGCCCAGGTCGGTCTTGAACTCCTGGCCTCCAGAGATCCTCCCGCCTTGGCCTGCCAAAGTGCTGGGATTATATGTGTGAACCACAGTGCTTAGCCACAAGTTTATCTTTTAGAAAATGGAATTATTTTTAAATTATAATTTCTTTTTTGACTATGACGTGTGGCGTTATTTAAGAAGTTAGTAATAAGGTAATGGTATACTTCTCTGTTGGGCCTTTTCATATTTTTTTCCACTCATTGAGATTGTTGATTGTTCTCTCTCTCTCTCTCCCCTGGGATATGGAATTTAGAACAGTGTTAGGGTCCTTGTAGCCCACTACTCAGCTGTCCTAACGAGGCAGGCCAGCTGCCCTATGCTCTCACTCTCAGGAAATGAGCCAATCCGAGGTCTCCGGCCTATTTGATTTCTATGACACACACACATGCTATGTACACAGTGGGCACTTCAATTGAGCCCTTATTTGTCTACATGCCTAGGTATCATTTAATATATATATTTATTGATTGATTTGGAATTTGTCCTGAAAATTCTGCATTGCCAGACAAATATCCCAACGCTGATTGCAGGCAACCCTCAGCCAGTCCATGGTGCTTGGGCCTGGCTCAGGATCCAGTGTGTCAGTGAACCAGCAGAATCCTTAGGTCCCTCAGGTCCAGCCTTTGGGTGGAATGCATGTCAGTGGTGCGCCTCCTCTAACGCAAGCTTCTGGGCAGTGTGGAGTTCCAGCACCAGGGCAAATACCAGCATCCATTACAGGACCTGGCCCTGGTTCCTTTGCTCATGGAGGAAGAATGCACACTCAGGTTGGAATGCCAGGAAGTGGACCAGTGTCCATGGAATGGGGACAAGTGCTGATGCAAGACCCCAGAGCAGCTATGCAGCGGGGATCCTTGCCTGCCAATGTCCCAAACCCTTGAGGCTTGTTCAGAGATGCTCTGAGTGATCCACGAGGAGGCACTTTACTTTCTGTAACTGTAGATGTAGAGCCTAGAGGTTACTTGGGACCACCTCATCAGGGTCCACCCATGCACCATATTCCTGTCCATGAGAGCCGAGGACCACCCCCACATGAGCTGAGGGCAGGACCATTGCGTGAGACCAACCTCTAATGGCAGAACCAAGAGGACCCATGTTAGATCAGAGGGGTCTACCCTTGGATGGTAGAGGTGGACAGGATCCCTGAGGAATAGATACATTAGGAATGAAGGCCCAAGCCATGGAGGCAACAGGGTTAGATGCCAGAGGATTGGAGGCCCATGAAATGAAGGCCCATGCAATGGAAGCTTGTGCAATGGAGGCCCATGTGATGGAAGTCTGAGGAATGGAGGCCAGAAGCATGGTTACCAGAGCCCCAGTGCCTGGTCCCAGAGGACCTATACCTGGTGGAACGCAGGGTCCCAGTCCAATTAACATGGGGGTGGTTGTCCACCAGGGATCCAGACAGGTCCCAGTCATGCAGGGAACAGGCATGCAAGGAGCAAGTTTACAGGGAGGAGGCCAGCCTGGTGGCTTTAGTCCTAGGCAGAACCAAGTGGCTTCACAGGATCATGAGAAGGCTGCTTTGATCATGCAGGTTGTACAGCTGACTGCAGACCAGATTGCCATGTTGCCTCTAAGGCAGAGTATCCTGATTTTAAAGAAACTAATATAGAAATCCACTGGAGCACCTTGATAGGTTTT